TAGTAGGGATGGGTATTGTAGAGAATTTTCATATTGCGATATATTACGATGTGAAAGCATACGGTATATTGCGATATGTATTGCAATATATTGCAAGAAGTATTTTTAAACAAAACACTACTAATAATCAAGTTAATGCTTGATTATAAAGCATGGACACAACAAAATCACTATTCTTGATTAAGCTTTAATATAAACTTTTAATCATGACAAAATAAAAATGTAAATAATATTTGGCACAAATGAAAAAGGAAATATCCAAAGACTTCCGAGTGTTACGAAGTTTTCCGAATGCAAGTCAAAATACCGGTTTTCGATCAACGTATTGCAATACGTATCGTTTTCATGTCTGAACCGGTAAATACCGGTAAACCGGTTATATTGCGCAGCCCTAACAGATAGGTATTCTAAGTTTACCCAGTCTGTACACAGGTGTCCCTGTATCATGTTCCAGTGTGGCCCTGGCAGTCATGTGACTGGTTGCATGATTAAAGATATTAGGGGTGATGTGACTTAGCTTTTCAGACCACTTTAAGCAAGAGATTAATAATTTCTGACATGTAAACACGAAGAAAATGATGACGTATTTTTAAAAACGTAACCTGTTATCATTGTAAGTGCATGCTTGCTTAAGGCCACCACGTTTACTCCATTGTGAATTGTTCGCGAAAAGAGAAATATTTAGCTATATTTCTGTACACACACTTGTAACCCCCACTAAACAACTGTGTGGTTAATTCTAGTCTACTGAACACAGAAAACATTACAATGAGTCAAAACATATTTTATGGCTTCTAGATGGGTTGTCAAATAATATTTGACGTTTTGTATTAAGCGACATGCGAAATAAACAAATTATAAAACAAAAATTCAAGTACCAGAGAATAATATTTTCATTATCAAATATGATTAATAACTGATCATCTCTTGTGCGGCAAGAGGATAATAGTGAGTGAGTATGGTTTTACGCCGCTTTAGCAATATTCCAGCAATATCACGTCGGGGACACAAGAAGTGGGCTTCACATATTGTAGGGAATCGAACCCGGATGAGCGAACGCTTTAACCACTAGGCTACCCCATCGAGCCCAAGAGGATAATAACATGTATAACCAAGAACATCAAGAATTTAGTGGACGGCGTTCTTATTATGTGTAGCCTAGTAACCCTTTAAAACTATATATATATATGAAATTTCTGTGTTCTAAAAAAGCATACGAACAACTGTTTTGGTTTCGTTTGAACAATATCGCATGTTGTTGTCAAGAAATCAAAATGTTCCATTCAAGATAATTTTTGAATAAAATATCAGTCTTGAATAAATACGAATACAGAAATGAAAACGTCACTCCCTAAGAAGACAGTGTGTTCACCTTATTTTACTCTCCTCTTGTCACTCAAATACTCAATGCTACATGACAGCAATGACCACAATGACAAAGTTTGAAATGGAGTGGCTGGTATATGGATTCTGACTCATCGCTTGTGTCCTATTATTGAAAACAAGACACTTGACAAATAGTAGACACTGTTGATCGTCTTCCAGAACAGTGAAAAATGCCATTTTGGCAAAGCATTAAGTAGATAACAAAGTATTTACATAACAAGTATGACACAAACATGCAAGTAAAAGACAATAAACTTGAGATTGTGGGTTGCCAACTTGCCATGGACACAGGAAAAACTCTGTAAAATAGGTTACTTTTCAGTATATCACCAATATCAATGGCGAACAGTTCGTCTGGTTACCAGTGTAAGATGTAATTGCATGTTATGTTTTGATTCACAAATTATATCTGAGCACGTTCTCTCCGTGATTAATGTAGATGAACTGAGCACACGCCTACCTAATGTCGGCTTCGAGGTAATAGAACAACGAGTTTTATCAAAAATAGTATCTATTTTACGACGATATTATTGTAAAAGGCACTTCCATATCCATCACCATGGCATCATAATATGAAATTGAAAGTATAACAATGAATTAGTTTTTTACCACTAACATGCATGGTTCCAAGTGGTAATATAAAACAATCCCAATGTGGACACACAGCAGTTTTTTGGGGGATGCCTCGTCTTTGATGATCGTCTTTTTCCAATGATTTGTGCGCCATTATATTGTCAAGTGCTGTTTTAGTGGAGGAAATTCATATATCCAAAGCGGTATACACGACAACTGACAATATGGACATTACAAAAGAAGTTATATATCCATTCTCACTGAAGAAACATGAAAACAATTCTGATATGTTTGACATTGCTTTTATACTATAAGTTTTTATCCTGTGCACAAAATCAATCGTTATTTGATAACCTTTCTTTGCAGTCTACTTCTTCAAAACGAAGCAAAAACAGTTGTTCTAACTGCCCGATGTATTTTGGCATATAAGACACATTATGATATTTCTTTCTAAACCGCGAATAAGATCTCTAACATTTCTGACTGAAAAAAAGAAACACATAACACTTTTACCAGAATATTACTTCCAAGGGAACATTTTTGCATCGTTTAAATTTCAGATTTTGAACTAGTTTAGTGCTGAAAATTATAACACGAATATATAAAAGCACAACAAAACAAGGAATACGTCCTTTAGATCACATTCCATTATTACTACCAACGTTTCTTATGTACCACTGACATGTGACAGAAAGTCCCAACACACATGTTGTATGGCTGCCAACATGACAAGAACTGCTGCTGCAATATATATTTAAACAGGGAGAAGTGAGTAAAAGCTGAGACCCTTTCCGCATCCATAGGAAACCTCTGCTAAAAGCAGCGTTGATTGTTCAATTCCGACTATATTATGAACATGTGTTTGTTTGTTTAATGCCTCACTCGGCTATATGCCAGCTGTGTGCCAACAGTCTGTAAATAATCGAGTCTGAACCAGACATTCCAGTGATTGACATCATGAGATAAGACGAAAGAGCATTTGTTTATGAATCACTATCAAATAGTGATGATACCAGGTGTTCGCGAAAAACTCCACTGGTTGCTTCCGTCATAAACATATGCAAAGGCTCGTCTTCAGTTTACATGGAACAAATCGCGAACGTACGATACAAATCAAATTGGGAATTGCATCGGATATAATTTTTGTCACAGATGCATGAAAATTAGAATATCACTCCACATGTCTACCTTCTGAAAGCTTTACTGAAGCCTGAAGCCTGAAGCCTGAATGTTGCAACCTTAATCGAACACCTGAACAAGAGCCGTGTTACGCTCTTGACTGTACCTCAAAAGTTGTGAAATGTAAACAGTTTGTTGTCATCCTCAATCTATATGCATAGATCTAAATATGAAACACATAAAGTGGACTTACTTGTTTCCTTTATTTCAGGTTCAGGTGGGTATATGGGAAGGAATTGGCTATTTGATGGTTATTAAACACCATTAGATCATCGATATACATAAAGCGTAGGCTAAACTTCTTTGCCAAATTTCCTTGGTTTTGTTTTTAGCCAACCCGATCAAAAATTCTGAATCCTATGCATAAAAAAACAAAACACAAGATTTGCAAGGAGAGGAGCACAATTGGGACACATGGGGATGCTTCCTTCTTATCTAAATGATTTACCCCCAGATTTTACATAGTTGAGTGAGTCCAGTCTTTTTTTTTCAGAAAACGTCAAGTGGCATTTCCTTTCATTTTTGGCAAATTGTCCTGAGCCTCTGAAGGTCACCACGTTTCCTAGCAATTGTCCTATGGATCAAGAAATGATTTTTCCTGAAGTTTTTGCCATGGGAGATCGTGGTGTACAACGTTGACAAATCAAATGTTTTGACAGAACTGAATTTCTGAGAATGTAAAAATTCAAGCTTTTCTTCTTATCCATAGCAGATTTCCATAGGAATTTCTCAACAGGCAAAATGGATCAGAATGAAAGTTACAGATGTCACAAATGTTCGGGCGCCTGTTCGCCAGCACACAGAGTCGGCCGCCTAGCTCGTCCGCCCAGCGTGGTCGGCCGACTCTGTGTGCTGGCGAGTGGGTGCCGGGCTGTGGGGGTTGGGTGCGGAGTCTGTACTTTGCTGGGAGGGCGTGGTCCCAAACAGAACGCGTTACATTTGACCAGATTCTCAATGGCACTGTGTATTATGTATTATAACGCTCTAAAAAATATCTATATCTTAAATTAAATATTACACTGTACTCTAGGCCTCCTGGCCCGAAATACAATAAACTTCTGTTATTCTGATGTCACAAATGTCTTTTTTTCTGAAGAGCAAATCAAACACAGTGACTTCTTAATTCTTTATTTGTTTATTTTAAACCGACCGACCCAACAATAGATCACTGTGGCTACGTGAAACACATAAAAATGTTATTGGAAGCGCCTAGCGCGAAGGTTTGCCCAATGGCAGCCATGTATTTTGCCGTTTTCCTGTACATTTTGTTTGCCCTACAGCTTGGAGATTCACCACAGATCTTCAGCATCGTGCTTGCATTTACTTCGGATGGTGCCTACTACTTTTGGAGCCAATTTGCTTCGCGTTCACCTTAAACAGACAGTATTTTGATGTATTTATATCCTGATTATTTTAAACAATAGTTTTATGATTATCATTTTCAATGTTATATATGGATGCTTTATGACAGAAAAAATGGAGAACTGCATATGATGCAACACAAATTTTCCATTTGGGATAATAAAGAAATTATCTTTTCTTATCTTGCCTTATAACGAAGGTCGAGTGTTACAGGAGACTAAAGCGATTATTTCGAATTAATTTGCTGTGATACAAACATTTTCAAAATCATATTATAGTGGTATCTGTTTGCTCCACGATCTTGATGCTTTATTTTCTTGTCTGGCATGAAGACATTCTTTCTACAATCCACGATCACTCATTTTCAAATGAACATCGCTACAACAGGAAACAAGACTGGGATCCTGACTTGCGTAGAAACACGAAGAAACCAGTCATACTGTTAACGTCACGCGAGGTTCTGACGATCCCCCGAGATTTATGACGTCGCCATGACGACAATTTCACTGCTGATACCGCCATTTTGTCGCTATCATACATTGCTGTTATACTGCCAGTTTTCTCCACCTGTTTGCCTCACAGTTTGCTTATTTCCAGTTGATATCACCATGACGTCGTACACTCAAGGTATTTCGTTACACCTACCTAAGTTAGGGTTGACCCTTTGCTTTCTGTTAATGTGTTATGACTTATTTACGAAATTCAGCGTGAAGTATGAAAATCTTCAAAGACGGGCAGCCATTTCAATTTGTGCAATTTCTAACACCTTTTAACCTTTCAGTCTATTAATAAAAAAACCCCCTCAAACAAACAAAAATAACAATGCCAAAACAAAGGATTTATCATTTAGATTTTGATTTTTCCGGCTCTACTTTATGAAATTTGCAAGTACAGTTTCGTTTGTCAACACAAAATGTGCAGATCATCGCCATTATGATACAGTTACTTTTCTGGTCATTGTTAAATGATCTGAACAAAACTGGACAACACATTTAAAGGATCCCATCCCAAATCTCACTATAATATAATAAATATATACTTAACCCCCTTGATGCCACAGGGACATATATGTCCTTCCCCTTCAACCCACAATTTAAAGTCCAATACAAATCAATATATCCCACGCACACAAATACACTTCACAGTTTTGAATTCAGCGGGAAATTTCCTGTTTCTTGATACCATCCACTATTATTTTAGACAAAGCTCAAGTGCTGAAAATGACCTTTCAAAATAGGCTTCATCGAAAATGTCGCCATTTTGGACACAGTACTAAATCGCGATTCACAGCGTTATTTGCTGTATGTTTTGAAATGTGAAAATCGGATAATTACTGGGAGTATTGAATTTCAAAAATAACATATTCATGATCACTGATATGAAATCGCTAATGATAATTCTGAAACGTTGCCGATGAATCTAAAATCGGTTGGGATGTTTTCGAAAATGCACTTACACGAACGCCGTAGAGCGCTTTCCGCCATATTGGATAGTGTTTAAATGCATAAATGAATTACCCATACATTTTAGAATCAAACTGCAAATGGTCTTTGTCACCAATGCCAACTGTCTAGATAAATTGAGACGAAACATATTGGGTGTGAAAACGAACGCTGTGCTCGAAAGACTGCGCTGGTTCGAAATGTAAACAAAGACAAAAACCTATGTTACACTGTGTAGCATTTTCTGAAATGTTCCAACATTCATCCGTCTATTCATTGCTTGCAATGGCTCAATACCTTATGAATATGCATGCAAAGAGTATCGTAGCAAGAAATAGGAAATTATAAATAGATACAATGCAATGATTTGATAATTCATAAGAAATTGCCAAAGTTTCCGTGCAGCGTGACGCCATGACTGATGCAAAATCACGCAGAACGACAACTGTAATCATCAGCATTTTGGGCTTCTTCTCTTACTTACATTAAAAATGATAAAATCATATAACAATACACAGATAGTCAGAATCATTCTGATTACTTACATCTCATATTTATGTACAAACGATCCCTGAATCAATGGAAGGGTCCTCGAAAAATCCTGTGTATCCTTGTCAGCAAAGCCGCCATTTTGTAAGAAATAGGTCATCGGTACCAGTGATGTCATACGTCAACATTGTTGTAAATATTAATCAATTTCTTTGAGGTGAAGGTCGGTTGAACAAGAGTAAACACAATCGCCCAATCCTTCCGATTACACTGTCAGTATTATGATGTATATTTTGCGGATAGTTCAGACACTTTTTCATGAAACTGACTTCAGTATCTACATTTAGCCTTGTTCAATATCATATCATACGTGCATATAGGGTTTACGGTGTTTTATTCTTTGAAAGTTTTTGATTGTTTAAATAATATTTACATAAGAAATTGACACATTTAGTGCAGTACACCATATTCTAAACCTTTACACAAGTGTAAGAAGATCAAACGTAGCCATAACTGCAACTGCTTTTAGTTCCTATGATGTACAACATTCAATGCATTTGAACTAATATTGCAGTTTCACATGAACAGGTTAATGAACGGCGATTTAATTCAACCTTATAAGTATAACTGATAATATTTAATGAACATGATTTATATATGTTATGAAATGTATATGCACCCATATTTAAAGGAATTGTCTTTTTCTTTGCACATTTTTGTGTCGTTTTATAGAGAAAACAGTGATGTAAATTGATTGGCCAGGTGCGCGTTTGTCGGAAACGTTTTATGATTCACTATCATTGTTTTCGATAATATAATCAATTCATATTCGATTTAAAAATATTGTGATGACAGGATATCAAACTCTAACTATATTTATTCGAAAATTGTTTAAAAATATATAAACCATGTCATGTCTTAATTTGGACAAATCTTACATCCATATTCTAATATATAGTACGTACTAGTTCCATATATAAAGATATCTTTTTGCATCTTCCATTGCATACTTATGAAGAGAAATAGCTACATAATCATAAACAAAGAACATTCTTATCCTAAACAAAATATTCGGGTGTTGTGAAATGTTATTTTTCATTTACGTTAAATTGATGCCAAACAGGTGCGCGTGTTTCTCACAAAAAGATACACAGTCAAACTGTCTAATTGTTGATATATTCAGGACACTATTTAAACGGAAAAATCAGTCATTTTATGTTTTGTCTAAAGAGTGTTACATTCTGACATAGAAGCCGAGACCTTTCACACAATTAATGGAAATTAGGTGAGATATGTACTAATCAGCATACCAATGTCGTCTTTTTCCGACGTCGCAAAATGCATAAAACAAGCAATGACGTCAACTAAAATGTTGTATTATTTTCAGCAATTTCATTACATTTAAAGATATGGCTAGTACTCTGGTAATAACGATGCAAAATTAGTCAAAATACATATACACAAACAGGACAATATGGGAATCTAACAACTAACTTATATATCGGATAGGGCCATCCAAATCGTTATGACGTGCTTTCACATATACTACGTTGTCATCTTTTCGTATAAATTGTGAAACTACCAAAGCGTATCCGCTCACATTGAGGAACTTTGAATTGGAATAGTTTGGTTCACCGTGAACAAAAAATAACGAAAATATAGCGTACGTATCCACAACACATACTCTCCATGTGATCTGAGTTACATTGACCTAGTGGTAAGCATAACGGAGTTATGCCCCCTTATTATTATACGTGTATGACCTCTCTGTCGTCGTTTGACGTCGTAGAAGAAAATCCATTTTTGACATTTATTGCGAGGCATTTTTAATATTGAGCGTATAATGTTATGCATAAGCACATAAACCCAATTCATATACACTTATGTCGTTCAGATATTAGGCTGTATTTTCTTCGCTCACACTTTCCGTAAAGATGCCAAATTAAAAAATTCGTAGCACAGTGCTTTTATCGGTGCGCAATAAAAAGCGGAGAAATGTACTGTTTTTTAACGCATAACAAAAAAATTGACAACATTTAGCAAGGTCTATTTCTCAAACCGAGGAGGTAGTTGCACTTATATTTTTACTAACGGATAGGAAATTTAATATTCTACATTTCTGTGTAATTGTATAGCCGTACGTAGATCCAGGACCACGCGAGCGCAATTCTCGCACAACGTTCACTTTTCAAAGCGTATGAAAATGTGCGCCTGAAAAAAAACCTCGGCATCAAGGGGGTTAATGCACATATTTGGTGTTTGTTGAGGTTCCATGCAGAGTACTGAACCAAAATTAACTAACCCAATACTGCAATTTCTGTTTCTCGCAGTTATAATAACTTGTTTTCAGAATAATTACACAACTAGTGATTATTGAGGTACCATTATACTGTAACAATATTAGCTAAATGTCTAATAAATTAAATTAATGTCTTGAGTTTTATTTGTCAGATAGTTTACAGATACTATTCTATACTATTTTGAACAGTCATGAAATGCTCTGAAACCGCTGTATTCCAGCTGTTTCAGCTTCTGGACAGTGGTCACATGATGCTTTACGAGTGCTTCGCAAGGCTGGTTGAACGGGTCCATGACAAATTAATGGTTATCTGGGAAACATTACCCATGTCGGCATGCTTCACAGTGTCTTATTGTGACATGGTATACAGTACAATCGCTTGAAATCTGTACTCACAGAGAAAATCTACTTTTTGCAAGCATTCACCCCCAAACTGGCTACAATGTACATTCAAGTTATTAAACCATTAAATGCAAAAACCCAGAAAACAGCATATGCTATTTTTCACAATTTCTTTTTGTAAAGACAGTTTTTTTAAAAATCCTAATTTAGATACAAATCCCTGATCTCACTTCCTGCATATTAATACTTACACTATTGAATTACAAAGGTTTAGGTTTAGGAATATCACAACAGAGGAAAATATCTAGAGGGTCCAAGATAAATTCAGCACCTGTGCAGAGACCATTCTGTCAGAAATAGGAAATTACTTCAAGTTAGTGATGACTAAGTTATTTGAACAGAGGGTCTGCTCTTGTCCAATCAATAAACTTGCACTGAATTAACTACTAATGGAAATTATATCTCCTAAGTATAAAACTTTTATCACCTTGCAATAATTATTGCCTCTAAGTTAATAATAATATTTGTTTTCTTGGACCAGAGACAATATCCCTAGAAGACATAATACTAATGAAGATATAATTATTTTAAGAGAATAACAAACCACTGAACTCATTAGATTTAAAAAAAAATACATTCCATGTATGCTCCAAAAATACTGGTGTAAACAAACTTCTTCAGTCAACTTCCTCAAAATCTGGTTAATTATCTTCTATAAAGTATTGCATCAAATCTGCCTAAAACACATTTTAATACTTATCCTAGTTATTAAAGAAAACCAACTGAGAAGTATCTAATTCATTCTGTTAGAGACCTGAATAATGCTTGTCCAGGGTGTGACAAAAATGTAGCCTTTGCTTTTTTTTACAAATTATCTGGTAAGTTTAAAGTTTAATATTTGTTTTGTGTGTGTTATCAGTCTCATGATAAACATATTATTTATACTGAAAGATGTCTTAAAGCAGGAGCCAACAAACTAAGTTCATATCAAGTAGTTATTGTACCATAAACCATTTTAGTCTTTGTATGCCAAGTCATTCATATAAATCATATTAATCTGAAACGTCCTCAATTAAATACTTGATAGGAATAATTATAACTTCAGTTTCAACCAGATATGCAAATATGGGCTATACTAATACGTTGATAAAATACAGTGCTCACATAATAATATAACTCTTGTTTTGCATGGAAACCATCCAAACATATGATGTGCAGCACAAGATGACAGTCAAAAGTAGCAATCATGACTTACCAAACTTTGTAGACAGAACTGTTTAGCTCATCATGACACATGCTTGCTTGTTAACTAGGAATTGTTGCCATTTATGGCGAAATACCTAATTTAATGACAATGACATGTTGTGTCCAGTATGTTGTATGTTTTTCATAAGACTCTCACCCCTTTTTTCCCGACAGCTCTTGACCTGGTGATAAGGTTCCCTTTGAACTTCGACATCTGGGCCCCTCCTCGCCAAGTGGGTGTCTTAGGGATTTAATAATTTTATATCATTGTAAACCTGAAATTGTGTGTCTTGTGTTTCGTGTGTGTACCTTATTAACCATTGCATCTGTTACAAACATCACTCTTACCAATAATATAAACAGTAATATCTATGTGGAGTAATAACCATATGTCTTAAAGACTTATATTCTTCTAACATCCTTACTGCGACTAGTTACTCAATCCATTTGGAACAGCTTACCGCCTTTCTCTACTTTTACCTTCTGTCACTCTCAACATGTCCTTATCTCCCTCCCTGTCAGCGTCCTACTGGGAGATACATGACCATCCTAGAGCCCCTGTCAGAGCTGCCCGTCCCTCCCACCTCTATCCCCAACCCTGCTTCTCTCTCTACCCCCGTCCTGCGTGATGCCCCTCACTTCGTCGATATTAACCTCGATGATGACGACACCCCGATCCAGTCCCCAGTTCGACTCTTCTTGACACGTGTGTCTGGGTTCTTGAGGAGAGTGTTCCGAGTCAAGATGGACGCTTAGAGTGACATCTTTCTGTCTTTTGATTCTTGAGGAGTGTGTTTGTGTCAAAATGGACGCTTAGAGTGACATCTTTCTGTCTTTTGATTCTTGAGGAGTGTGTTTGTGACAAGATGAACGCTTAGAGTGACATCTTGCTATCGTTTGGATTCTTGAGGAGTGTGTTTGTGACAAGATGAACGCTTAGAGTGACATCTTGCTATCGTTTGGATTCTTGAGGATGTGTTTGTGACAAGATGAACGCTTAGAGTGACATCTTGCTATCGTTTGATTCTTGAGGAGTGTGTTTGTGACAAGATGAACGCTTAGAGTGACATCTTGCTATCGTTTGATTCTTGAGGAGTGTGTTTGTGTCACGCTTAGATGGACGCTTAGTCAAGATGGACGCTTAGAGTGACATCTTGCTATCGTTTGATTCTTGAGGAGTGTGTTTGTGTCAAGATGGACGCTTAGAGTGACATCTTGCTATCGTTTGATTCTTGAGGAGTGTGTTTGTGTCAAGATGGACGCTTAGAGTGACATCTTGCTATCGTTTGATTCTTGAGGAGTGTGTTTGTGTCAAGATGGACGCTTAGAGTGACATCTTGCTATCGTTTGATTCTTGAGGAGGTGTTTGTGTCAAGATGGACGCTTAGAGTGACATCTTGCTATCGTTTGATTCTTGAGGAGTGTGTTTGTGTCAAGATGGACGCTTAGAGTGACATCTTGCTATCGTTTTGATTCTTGAGATTCTTGAGGAGTGTGTTTGTGTCAAGATGGACGCTTAGAGTGACATCTTGCTATCGTTTGATTCTTGAGGAGTGTGTTTGTGTCAAGATGGACGCTTAGAGTGACATCTTGCTATCGTTTGATTCTTGAGGAGTGACATCTTGCTATGTTTGTGTCAAGATGGACGCTTAGAGTGACATCTTGCTATCGTTTGATTCTTGAGGAGTGTGTTTGTGTCAAGATGGACGCTTAGAGTGACATCTTGCTATCGTTTGGATTCTTGAGGAGTGTGTTTGTGTCAAGATGAACGCTTAGAGTGACATCTTGCTATCGTTTGATTCTTGAGGAGTGTGTTTGTGTCAAGATGGACGCTTAGAGTGACATCCACTTTTTGGACGTTGTGTCTTGTAATATTTACTTTTTTTTACCTTTCGGACGTTTTTATGCTTTTCGGACTTTTTGTGGTTTGGGACTTTTCGGAAATGTAGGCTGTGAGTTTTATACGTTTTATACACGTTTTGGCTTTTTTTCGGACAAGATTTAACTTCAGTTTTAACTTAAATTGATAATGACTAATAATTAAAATTGTCTTGATTTTCTAAGTATTTGTGTTTTCTTTTGTTATGCAGCGCGTGACCTAAGTTTGTGAGGTGAGGTGAAATTGTGTTTAACGTCGTGCTGGAGAATATTTCTCTCATATGACGACGTGCACGCGTGTGTATGTGTATGTGCGGCTGCTTGTACTAGCCCAGACTGAAGCTGGTTTTATAGTGCTAGCCCACTGAGATACCCCACTCAGACACATTATACTGACTCCGAGCCGACCAGTCCTTGTTGTACACATTAATGCCGAGCACCAGGCAGGGACCAACAAGTATCATATTTGAACGTCTTTTGGTATGGCGCGGTCGGGGATCGAACCTCTCCGGGCGGACGCTCTAACCACTACACCGCGGATGTTTTAACCATTACCCAAGGTCCATTTATACACATTCATAACACAACCGAGAATTGTCACCGTGGATTCTAATTGCATATGATCGGGAATAAAGCCCACTTGCAGACAGTCATATTCTTTCACATATACTAATATGTCTGTGCTTACAGTCTCAGGATAATGTACTCACAACTGAATATCAATTTTGAAGTTACATTCACTCCGAGATAACTTCTAAGCTAGTACTGATGAACATGATTATATTAAGTGCGTATAGAAAGGACAAGCATTGTTTAACGACCAGAAGAGTACCTCCTTTGTTCGTCACATGACATGATTAACGCCGCTTACTGTAAAGGGGAAGTCCTGAGTCGTCGACCTTTACGATTTCTGGTGCCCATGAGCACGAGTACGGGTATGGCCCATCTACCTGGAACACCAACTGTGATACCACGTCTACATGAAGTAGGCCGATACTCAATTCAATATATATTTTCTTTCAGTCAAGATATCTTTAAAAAATTAAGATATCAGTAATTTGTCAATAAATGTAAAACCGGCTTGCCATAAATCCACGTCACCTCTAGTAATAGTGATTCCTGAACACATGCTTATATTAGGGTCAAGATCGTATAATGGACGATCTCTTTGTGATTTCTCATGATGATGTTTCCCTTTCTGTTTACGGGTAGAATATACGTGTCTCTCCTCTCGCTACAGATGCATCAGAGCAGCCATGGTCGAAGAGAACCTCTCCAGCTGACGTGTAACGCGCCTGTTATTTAGATGTAACAGTGGAAATATTGTAATAAAATTATACTGTGAAAGCTGACCTAGTGTGTATTTCTTTATAGCTCAGTTCAAAACACTTGGGTGTTCACATGAGTGAGTGAGTGAGTTTTACGCCGCAGTCAGCAATATTCCAGCTGTATGGAGGCGGTCTGTAAATAATCGAGTCGGGACCAGACAATCCAGTGATTATCAGCATGAGCATCGATCTACGTAATTGGGGTACGACGACATATGTCAAGCAAGTCAGCGAGCCTGACCACCCGATCCCGTTAGTCGCCTCACACGATGGTTGCAGAAGATCAATTCTAACCCGGATCTTCACGGGTACACGAGTGAGTGAATTGGATCTAATCCGCTTTCAACCGCAGTAAGAGTGATGCAGTTATTGACACTGGCAACCTAATCACTCAGGCGACTCTGAGAGTCCGGCACGTCGAAGGTTCACTAAGGCATCTGGGCGCGTTGTATCCTTGGTGATTTGATATTTACCAGTGGAAAGAAGGTGCCTGCAATCTTTTCCACCCCTTCGTCGCGCTTCATACATAACCTTCGAGTGGCCTGTTCACCAAATGGCAGATACGTGAGATAGATGGAACTTGTGATGGCTGCCGACCGATAGCTCATGTCGATTGATAACCGTGTGGTTAATGTTCAAGTCAGCACCGATGTGGCCACATCACTGTGTCATGCATGTCAGGCGCGTAGCAAACCAGTTGTTTTCGTGTAAGCCCGATAGGTTGTAAAGCTTTATATTTAGATAGTATTGAGGCTTGCCCAACCTTTTTAGCAACGATCACGTGTAAGCCCGGGCTTTTTTCTATAATGGTAGCTACGCCCCTGCATGTGAAGAACTTGCCATCGTGTATTTTCTGAAAGTCTACGTCTTGCCATGTCAAGAAAAGTTAACTTTTAGTACTGTCATTTTTTGAAGCAGTGCATAACACTGTAGTGTACTTTACGCTATTTCTCAATAAAACTGTACATTGATATTACAGTAAGGAGAAAAATGAATTTCGCAGACATGTTAAAATACTCGTTCCCTGAAAGCTACAACATGCTGAGAACAACTTCTAAAAATTGTTTCAAGTTAACTTAAACAGTGAAAAATTAAAGGGACAATTATTCAACTTAGTCTGATCTGATTTTTCAGGCCTTGTAAACATACGTTGTTTCCATGTTCTATAGGTGTCAATGTGAGTATCTGTTTTGATATCAACTTGGAAATAGAAAATACGTTATGTTATGTGTAGGTATCTTCAGTAAAGTCGGTTAGTGTGTTATCTTAAACATTGTTACTAACTGCATACAAAAAGGCCTTCATCTTAAGAAATCTAAATGAACGATATTTCGTGGATTGCAATGAAACCATTTCTTGTTACACTAAACTCGGTAAAGAGAAAGGACTTGCGATACCATACTGGTTAGCTTATTTTACATGGTGAAAACTGGACAACATTTAACAAAGATAATTCTTTTCACGTGATAGCTATAATTATAAGGGGTGTGATGTAACGTATGTTAACTAGTGTTGGGAATTGGTTGAAATCTCACAATTGATGATTGCTTCATTACCAACGAACAATCATCGAAAAAAATTGGTTAGCGTCATTTTTCAGATTTTCCTACCAAGGTTGTTATTGTAGATATGTATAGCATGATGCAACTTGCTACTTTAAAGTGATGAGTAATATATCATGAACATAAACTTTCTGGAGTCTTCAAGAAATATTCAGTCATGGCTTTTCAGTTAGTGAAGTGAGTTTTCTAAGAATTAAACAAGTTTTCAGGCCCTGACAACTTCGAAGATATGTTCCATCGTCAAGTGTTTCAAAAACTAAAACAGCAGTTCCAAAATCGTTTGTGTTCGATTATGAGAAAATGTGATCGATTGCTTGGTCGTTTGGTCACTTCGACCAATCTTCGATTATTTCAATTAATCGGAACACCACTAATGTTAACATATTTTTCATATTTCAAAAGAACACTGGAAAATGACTTAAAAACATGACGATGGCCCATTGGATTAATTTATTCATTGTATTCATACAAGTGTATATATACTACAATATTTATATATTGAAAATATGCATTAAAAGTGTATAAAAAGTATGTACATAATTGCATATATAATATATGCAGTACATATAAAGTAAAAATTACCTGTATATAAAGTATGTATCACTGGTATATGGAACGTATACAATAATTTTGTATGGAAAGTATTTACACCTTATCCCTAAAGTTCACACATGATTTTCATCCTCCCATTGTACATATCAACACCAGTAAGGTGTCCTCCCATTTGTGAGAACTCCAAGTTGTGAGACACATTAATTAATGGTTCAGTGCACATAGGTGGTGTTTCCACATCCCTACAATGAAAGTGGGATCAGCCCAGTTGTTGAAGAGCACCCACAGGAGACATAGTTCATTGATGAGTTGATTAATGAAATAGATTATCAAAGATTTTATTTGCACAGACGAAATAGTTAATTATATATTTTATTTATCCAGAAGAATATGTAATTATGATAACACATATTTATTGACTATTATGAAGTTTGAA